CCTAAATGCCCACTAATCCAGGAATGGATTAATAAGCTGTGGTATATGTATACACGGAATACTATTTAGCCACTAAAAAAGATGGAGACTTTACATCTTTTAGGTTAATCTGGATAGAGTTGAAGCACATTCTTCTTAGTAAAGCATCACAAGAATGGAGAAGCAAGAATCCAATGTCCTCAATTCTGATATGAGGATAATTGATGACCTAGTACATGGTAGAGGGTGGAGGAAGGGTGGAGCTGAGAGAGGGAAGGAGGGAAGAGAGGGAGTCATGATGTGACACACCTCTTAGAGGTAGGACACGATTGTAAGAGGGACTTTACCTAACAAATGCAATCAGTGTAACCTGGTTCTCTGTACCCTCAATAAATCCTAAAAAAAAAATTAAATTTAAGGTAAACCTAAAGAAAAAAAACACAAGGAACTGGAAAAGGAAAAAAAAATCATTATTCACAGATCATTTGAGTACAAAGAAAATCAAAAAGAATCTACAAACTATTAACAATAATAAGAAAACTTAGCAAGATTGCTGAACACAGTACATGTGATCGATATGTAAAACCCAATTGTATGTCTATATATTAACATGTAGAAAATGAAAACCATTTGCAATGGCACCAAAAACATGAAATACTTACAGATAAATCTAATGAAAAATATATAAGAACTGGCTGAAAACCACAAAACATTAATGAGGGACATTTTCAAAGACCTAAACAGAATGATGCATTGTGTTCATAAATTGGAAGACTCAATATTGTTAAGATATCATTTCTCTCCAAATTCGTTTATATTAATAGATTTAATACAAACCCAATAAAATTGCCAGCAGTTACTTTTTGGGTGTGTGTATAAATTCACAAGCTGTTTCTAAAATTTACTATTATTATTATTTTAGAGACAGAGTCTCACTTTAATTGCCCTCGAAAGAATGCCATGGCATCACAGCTCACAGCAACCTTCAGCTCTTGGGCTTAGATGATTCTCTTGCCTCAGCCTCCCAAGAAGCTGGGACTACAGGCGCCTGCCACAATGCTTGGCTATTTTTTTGTTGCAGTTTGGCCGGGGCCGGGTTCAAACCTACCACCCTTGGTATATGGGGCTGGTGCCCTACTTACTGAGCCACAGAGTCCACCCTGTTTCTAAAATTTAAAGGAAAACATAAAGCACCTAAAATAGCCAAGGCAATATTGGAAATTTATTTACTCTACTGGATAGGAAGACTTATTATAAAGTATAGTAATTAAGATAGTATAGTATTGGTATAAAAATAGAGAAATAGAATAGAAAAGAGACTCTAGAAACTAACCCCCCACTTAAATGGCCAAGAGATTTATGACAAACATTCCATTGCAATTCGGTAGGGTAATGATGGTATTTTCAATAAATGGCACTGGATCAGTTGGATATTCACATGGGAAAAATGTAAATCCTGACCCCTACCTCATACCATACACAAAAATTAATTTGTGATGGATCAAAGACTTAAATGTTATAGCTGAAACAATGATACTTCTAAAGAAAATACAGGAAAATGTCCTCATGACCTCGGGATATAAAAGATTTCTTAAGACACACAAAACATTAACCATAAAAGAAAAGATTAATAAAAATGGACTTCATTAAAATGAAGAACTTCTATTCCTCAAAAGATAAGAATAAGAAAATGAAAAGGCAAGCTACATACTGAGAGAAGGTACAATATACATAATCAACAAAAAAACCCAATTCAGGAACATACAAAGAACTATAAATCAACAAGAAAAAAACAACAACTCAGTTAAACAATGGACAGAAGATACTTCACAAAACAGACACACTTCACAAAAGAGGATATTCAAATGGTCAGAAAATACAATATAAAGGGTCCTTACTGGTCAGAGAAATGTAAATTTAAATATCTGAGATATCACTACACACCTATCAAAATGGCTAAAATTTCAAAGGCTGAGAATAGCAAGTGTTGATAGAGATGTGGAACAAGAACTCCCTTGACTTGCTAGTGGAGGGTGATGATAAATTCAGCAAATTGATTATAACCAACAAAACAGGTTACAAGCACTCTGAAAAAAACTGCTTAGCAATATCTATTAAAGCTAAACATATACTTGCCTTCAATTCTACACCTTGGTATATACCCAATAGACATGCGTGCTTATATCCACCAAAAGTTACATATTCACAAATAGTTAGCTTCATTTGTAATAGCTAAAAGAAACAACCCAAATATTTATTACGAGTGCAATGGTTAAAAACAAAATCTACAGCAAGAGTGAGATGCCATCTCTAAAAGAATAATAATAATAATGATAATAAAGCCAGGTGTGGTGGCATGCACCTATAGTCCCAGCTACTAGCACAGGTGAGGCAGGAGGATCGCTTGAGCCCAGGAGTTTGAGGTTGCTGTGAGCCATGATGATGTCACTGGACTCTAGTGTGGGCAACAGACTGAGACTCTGCCTCAAAAACAAAACAAACAAAAAAACAAAAAGTAAAATCCAAATCTCTGTAGTATATTCATACTGTGGAACGTGACACATCAATAACAAAGAATTAATTACTATTACATGAAACAATAAGAATAAATTACACAGAAGATGTTGAGTGCTATGGGGGTTTAAATAGTCAAATTCATAGAAGCAGAATAGAATAGTAGTTACCAGAGATGGGGGAGGGGAAATGCAGATGTAATAGTCAATGAACATGCACTTTTATCTATGCAAGATAAATTCTGAAAATCTGCTACACAGCATAGTGCCTATAGCTAACAATACCACATTGCGTACTTAAAATCTGCTAAGTTATATCACATGTTAAGGGTTCTCATCACAAAAATCCAACAATGGTAATAATAAAGGTAGCAGGAGGAAACTTTGAGAGGTGATCAATATATTTATGGCCTTGATGGTGGAGATGGTTGCATGGGTACCTACTTATTCCCAAACTCATCGGGTTGTATACATTAAATGCGTACAGCTTTTTATATGTCTGTCATACCTCAATAAAGTAGCTTTAAAAAATGCTGCATGAAAGAAGCAAGACTCAAAAAATACGTAACATACTATTTCATTTATACTAAGTTAAAAAACATGTAAAACTAATCCATGTTGATAGGAATCATCGTTATTCCTTTGTGGGGTTTGGGGGGATGGGGCAGGTGTTTCTGATGGCAAGAGAACACAGTCACCTTCTGGAGTATCAGAAATGTTTATATACACCTTTATATGGTTGGTGGGCAAGTAGGTATAGATACAGGTCAAAATTCATTAAGCTGTACACTAAAGATTTGTATACTTTATTGTAGTCAACTTACATCTTCGTTATAACAAACAATCTGTCTATACAACTGAAATCTAGAAAGATGAATAATTGATTCTACCAGGGCACTGGGTATTAAAATGATTAGGTCTTGCCTGCATATGGTAGCTCACGCCTATAATCCCAGTGCTTTGGGAAACCAGAGGCAGGAGGATCGCTTGAGGCCAAGAGCTCAAGACCAGTCTGGGCAACATAGCAAGACCCTATATCTACAAAAAAATTTAAAAAATTAGCCTCGTGTGTTGTCAGGTGTGGTGTGCATGCCTATAGTCCTAGCTAATTGGGAGTCTGAGGTGGGAGGACCATTTCAACCCAGGAGTTTGAAGCTGCGGTGATCTATGATGGTGCCACTATACTCTGGCCTGGGTGACAGAACAAAATTCTGCCTCTTAAAAAAATAAAAAAATAAAGATGACCAGGTCTTAGTTGAGTAGTACTAGTACTTAATAGGCTATTACTGAGTCAAATAAGTTTTGGTGTTTACTTCTATAAGAACAAACTTAAAAATAAGCTATTATTCTACTTTTTCTCTATATCAGGATCATCTGCTTTGTACAAGTATACTATGCAAAAAAGTAAGGTATTTTATGTAGAAAGCACTAAAAAAATTTTGTTAAATCAGAGGAATGAAAAAGCCCCAAGAGATATGGGAGTGGCTTATATCCAAAATGCTGACAATGGAGCCAAAAGTAATGACATAATCTTTAAACAATTTTCAAAAGCTAGGCTCTCTCTCCCTAATGGGAGTCTTAATACCACAGATATGCTTGCATTCTTCTTTCCATACAGTAATTTGATTTTGAAGTACTTGCATAAAGTGAACGCAAAAATCTAGTAAACAGGATATGGTTAAGTAGCAGCTTCTAATCCTAAGTGTTAAGTGCATTTTTCTTAAATATACAAGGCTTTAATCAGAAGGGCGAAAGCAAAGAAAAACATTTTATATGGTTGTCTTAAATTTGCTTCAATAGAACATAAAGCAAGTTTTGATGCATGTACTGATAAATCTCCAGTTCCATTTTCAAATGAGATATTAATTTTATTAGTGCTTTTTAAAAGGCACAATTTAAAGAGGTGAGAGAATATCAATACCACTAAAAGTACAGCTATGAGGAAGCCTTACAACACGACAAGAAAGAAATTGGACAAACAATGAAAACCTTAGCTATTGTGGCATTCTAAATGGGAGGGAGAATCTCTCAGTCTTTGAAAAGGTCAGGGGGAAAAAGGCGTCTCACTGCATGTCGTGGTATCTAATAATGCTGTGTTTTTACTTCATTTTCATGCTTTTCCCTAGGGCAGCCTTTCTTCTTTTACCCTAGGAAGTACATTGACAAGAACTAACAAATATCTTTTACGAGATTCACTAAATTAGCAAAAGGTCAACAAATATTAAAGTTTGCTCAATAAATAAATCTCTATAACAAAGGAAATGTGTCATTTGGGCTTTTGATTCCCTTCACCCAGCCAACTTCTGCAATAGCCAGTCCCTATGACTTCCTGGGTTTGCGGTAGAATTCATTTGTGTGGGTTTCCTACTCCACAGTACTGATGAGGAAAAGGAAGACTAAAGGTGGGCTTTATATTCTGCTTTAGGAAGGGAGCAGTCAAAACAGTTGTTCCATTAAACTGTAATCATCTGTGACCACACTATCTTTTTTTTCCATAATTAAGGATACTTGTGATCGAAGTTGTACCACAGCCGGAAGAGCCAAGCGCTCTCTGCTTTTGTAGTTCTCCTTTCATTTTCAGGAAGACCCTGCAGACAGATAAAACAGAAATCCATACGGACACACAGATCCCAACACATTTACTTTGAGCCATTCCTTTGCAGTATCAGAAATAGAGGCCACTACATATAAGATACCTGCCAACATGGGTACCATTAGAAATGTAATAGTTTATGTATTACAGCTGTGGAACAAGAAATCAAAATGTTTTTCTGAACACCTCTATTATTCAGGTCGCTTGCTTATTCATAAATGTATTGCCATTAAAAAAAAATCATTGGGCTCGGCGCCTGTGGCTCAAGCGGCTAAGTCGCCAGCCACATACACCTAAGGTGGCGGGTTCAAATCCCCAGCCCAGACCCGCCAAACAATGATGGCTGCAACCAAAAAATGGCCAGGTGCTGTGGCGGGCGCCTGTAGTCCCAGCTACTTGGGAGGCTGAGGCAGGAGACTCGCTTGAGCCCAGGAGTTGGAGGTTGCTGTGAGCGTGATGCCATGGCACTCTACCCAGGGGGATAGCTTGAGGCTCTGTCTCAAAAAAAAAAAAAATCATTGTGGGATAATTCATATCCTAAATCTGAAAGTCTTATCCCTCTAATGTGATAGGACCTTAAGCAGAAAACATCACATCGACCCCCGTATCTTTGAGTGTTCTCATGGTTCTCAAAAGTAACTGGCATCTTCAAAGCAGCTACAGTGTCATTAGAATACTAACAAACGAAAAAAGTAAAAGTTCCAGGGTAAGCCGGACTGGCTAGGAGGGAAAGCTAACATAGCAAGCAGAAATCTTCTAAAATAGCTTCCAAAAAGACAAACTGTGTCCTTGTTTGTAATATGGTATAGTCAGCAGTCAGGCAGTTGGGTGATCTGGTTTCTAGTCCCAGCTCACCGACATTAACTAATTTGGGCAAGTCCCTTCCCCTTTCTGGGCTTGAGAGGGTTAGAGAAAATGTGAGTGTTAGAGAATCCCTATGGCCCTTCCAGTGCCAATGTTCTATGGTTCCACGGCTTTCTTTTCTAAAAGCAAAGAGTTTACTTAGATTCTGGGTTTTGGTTCCTTCCTATCCTTCCTAATCTTCAAAATTATTCTCTTCCTCATTATGTACCAATACATAAACAACATAAAATTGTTTGGGAATGCTGTAAGGGCTTAGAAGAGACAAGAACACCTTCTGTACTTCCTTTTACAACATGAGGCTCGTGTGCCTCCACTTTTTTTTTTGGAGTCACCCTTGGTCAGATGCCATGGCGTCACAGCTCACAGCAACCTCAAACACTTGTGTTTAAGCAATTCTCTTGTCTCAGCCTCCCAAGTAGCTGGGACTACAGGCGCCCACCACAACACATGGCTATTCTTTGTTGCAGTTCTCATTGTTGTTTAGCTGGCCTGGGCCGGGCTGGAACCCGCCAGCCTCGGTATATGTGTTATGGGCGCCAAGCCAACAAAATTGTTTGGGAATGCTTTAGGGGTTTACAGGAGCCAAGAACCCTTTCTGTATTTCCTTTTACAATATGAGGTTTGTGTGCCACCACTTCTTAATGAGCAGCTATCTCTAAATCTCACCATTCCCTCACTTACTCTGTGCTTTCTATACTGTCTGTCTGTTCTTCCCAATGGACACTCAAAATATCAAGTAAACAGTAAAACCAAGATGTCCATAGTGTTTTGAAGGCAAGGGAAAATGGCCTTTTGCTCTGTATGTCACAACCGGTATCACCTACTCGGCTCTATCCCTGTCACTCCATTTCCACTTATCCTCTGTGGTGAGAGGTGACACAGCTGGTGTAGACTCATGCAGAGAGTGACGAAACATTTGTCTTGGGAGCTGTTAATTAATTTTATTCTTGTTTTGACACAGGAGGAAGCACTGAGGAGCTATTACCCTTTGAATGCTACCCCAGCTGCTTGGTATCATGGGAATTTATTCAGCCTGGTTTGCACGAATATTTCAAGCCCATGGAATTCTACTTTAAGGCTCTGACCACAAAAGAGAAAAGCACTTACTATATCATATGCATACATTTGCACTCATCACTCAACAGCTAACCAAGTGAGCATTTAGGAAATAAATCTGAGAAATGTATTTTTTAAAACCACACCCTGAAGACAAATATACTAAGGCTTATTTCAGAATTATGTTTTGAAAGAGATGCTTTCCGTCTTCAAAAACCTAATTTCTGTGATTTCTCATCTAATGTCTAGTACTGAGTACCCAGTGGTACTCAGAAACCTTTGAAAAGTGGATAGAAAATACCATAGAAGGCAGCCAGTTACACTGCATTCAGTCCAACCGGCTCAGGTTCATAGGAAAACTGAGAAACTGACACAGGGAAGGAAAAAAAAAAAAAAAGGGAATGTGGCCAAGGCCGAGGCACAGGGTAAGAAAGTGCATTCCCCTGAACGGGCAGGGAAGACTGACTACAGATTCAAAAGCTTCTAGGCAGCTCTCAAGGACAGCTGCCGCTTGTCCAATTTGAAAGGTACACAGGAAAAGCAGCTGGAGCCGGGCTTACATCAGAGCAGGCCTTCATGCGCAAACCCAAGTGGAAAAAGGCTCCCTGTGCCAGAGGAGTCACTTGAAAACCCAGCAGCACTTGAGAGACTGCTCTCCTCTGTGGCAAAAGCCCAGGGTGGCCCACAGATATGAAAGCTGTCACCCTTGATAACCACATGCTGTCAAAAATTTGGTTTTGTCTCTATGGAACAGTGAGAAAAGCCAGGAATGATGTCAGTTAAAAGCTAAGGCAAATGAGACAGGATCTGAATGGAGGCATGAAGTCTACATTAGATTGTTTTCTTTCCAAACGACTGCACATTCGCCAGAAATGCTAGGGACAACACAAACGCATATTTACCAAATGTTCTTGGTCTGAATCAACACCAACCCTAAAGGAAAAACACAAAGAGCAAATGAGATTTCAAAGCCAAAAAAAGGTCTATTCACATATGTACATTGTTATGTTAGGAAACTACTTTTCTCAACACAGAAGCTATGGAACAGTTCATGTTTTCTTGTTTCTTTATGGTTGTTGATGTAGATTTCTGGCTCCTGCCACTTTCCTTAGCAACAGCTTGGATTCTGAGGCAAGCAGGGTGTACTAATGATTCTCTTCCCACAATCCCACTTACCGGTTTCAGGAAAATAGCATTTTCTTCTCTGAATTTAAGTCCACTGCAAGCAAAGGCAGGGAGAGCAACACTGCCTAGGTTGCTGAATAAGAACTACCAGGTAGTTCCAAAAACAAGGCTGGCAATTCTGGGAGGACCTGCATGTTTGGGGGGCCTCACAGCTTTCATGGCCACATTCTGTTATGATGACTGAAGAGAAGGTTCAATTACAGGTTTTTCATAGGCAAACAGATAGACATTAGCCTCGGTTCTTCACAATTCTTTTTTATCTACTTAAAATTCCTGCTTTCCCTACCCCAGGGAGAAGCTTCATTAAGTTCTCTCTGACTCGTCTCCATCCCCTGCACAGGAGCACTAACCAACTCTGTTCCTTCTTCCGTTACACTAGCAGGTCTTCTGCCCTTTCCACCCCAAGAGCTCAAGCGCAGCCCTCACCCTGACTCACAGGGTCTGTTGCAGAAGGTTTTCCAGCCGCCAGGCTCTCTCCAGAGTTAGCTGTCGACAGCATAGAACTAGGTTATTCCCTTGACAAAAGACTCTCAGAGTGGCTTACAACCCAGAAAGTGAAGTCTGAAGTCCTTCCTGGGGCAGTCAAGACTCTCTACAAACGAGTGCCCCCCCACTCCTTGCCCCACTCCAACCTACCATTCCACCCTCATTCCCCATCATTCTTTTCTACATACTCTATACTAGCCATACCCATCTACTCCTCTCTCCAAATCCCTGTCCTCTCTCAAACCTCCATGCTTTTGCTCATGGTGTTCCCTCTAGCTGAATGTGCTTGCCCTTATTTTTTTCTACTCATTTTTTGAAGTTCCAAAGTAACCATTCTATGACCCATTCGGGCAGAATCATTTTTCCCTGTATTTTCTTGTCCTTTATTATAATACTTAGCACAGTATAGTTATTTACCTGTCAGTGTCCCCAAAAAGACTGTGAGCTCCTTGAGGGTAAAGGTCATGTCTCAATTCATCTCTGTATCCCCAGAGTCTAGCACAGTACCTGACACACAATAGGTGCTCATACGTTTATCAGTTAAGTTTACTATAGACAACACACAAAAAAATAGCAGCATGAGCAGCTATAGCAGTAGAATCTCAGAATATGAATAACACTGAAGGGAAGAAAATGAGGCAAGACCACATCTGGAAGGCAAGGGACTCATGGTTAAGTAGTTAAAAACAGACGGCCATGACCAGATTCATAATTCAAAGAAAAGCTCTCTTTTTTTCTTTGTTAACATGGCCAGGAGCTACTTAATATCTTCTCAGGCACATTAAACTCTAACCACATTTATGTATCTCAAGTGACATCTAGTGGTCTTATAGATAGCACATTTGTAATACTCAGATGGCATATTATTAAAAGCCAATTCCATTTAATATGCATTTATACAACGCTTATTATTTGCCAGGCACTGTACTAGGCACAAGGCATAGCCATGAATTAAACACGACCCTTGCCCTCAAGGAGCTCACAGACAAGTAGGGGAAACAGATACAACTAGAGCATAATCCCTAAGGGCTTGCTATCAGGGAGTGCTGGCTTCAAATCTGGGCTTGGCTGCTTTTTAGCTGTGTGAGGTCGGTCAAGTTATGTAGCTGTATGAACTATAATTTTATCACCAGGAAAATGGAGCAAATATCTACCACACAGAGTTGCTGCAAGGATTAAATGAGAAAATGTATTGGAAGATGTTAAAAGAATGTCTGATGCATCATTAATACTAAGTGGCAGCTCTTATAACATTACAAGGCTGAATAATGAATAAGTAAGTGCAATAATAAGGAGATCCAATTAACACAAACAGAAGTGTGGTTCCAAGAGACAAGAACAGGGGGCAAAGGAGATGGCACTAAATTGTGTCATTGGGAGTAAAAGATAATTTCAGGCAGAGGGAACACTATGAGCAAAAGCTCAAAAACAGACAAGTGCAAAGAGTGTATAGTAAACAGTAGGGAGCCAAATGTGACTGTCACGTTATGTGAAAGGACAGAGGAATAGCTGGCTAGTTCTAATTTGTCAAGGGTCCAATATCTATACAACAGCTAGAGTGACCTTTTTACACTCTAAATTAGTTCAATGTCACTATAAAATCCTCCAAGATTTCTAATTGTATTTAAAAATCCAAACCCTTTACCATGTCCTACAAGACCCTATAGCAGGTGTCCATAAACTATATCCCCCGGGCCACATCTGGTAGCCCTCCTGCTTTTGTAAATAAAGTTTTGCTGGAATACAACTACACAGGTTAATTTAAATACTAACTATGGCTGCTTTCACACTAGAGTAGCTGAGTAGCTGAGACAGAGAGTGGATGGCCTGCAAAGCCTAAATATTTACAATCTGACCCCTTTCAGTAAAAGTCTGCAGACCCTTATCCCCATGGGATCTTGTCCACCTCATTTCCTGCCCACCCTTCTCCATCACTATACTTTTCCCCTATGTGAACTTTTCCCCTGTTCATTAAATAGGCCAAGTCTGTTTGTGCCTCAGGGCCTTTGTACTTGCTCTTCCCTTTGCCTGGACTGCTTGTCTTCCTGATAATTGTTTAACTAGCCATCTAGCCATATCCTATCATTCAGGTAGCCTGAGTTCAAATGTAATCTCTCAGACAGACCACCCCTGACCTCCTTATATAATGCACCCCCATCCCCAAGTCACTATCATAGTACCTTGCTTGACAGCTAGCATAGCATTTAATATCATCTAAAATTGTCAGGTTCATTTTGTTTACAAGTTTTTTATTTGTCTTCTCCCACTAAAGTATAGATATTTGAGACTAAGGACCTTTTCTATCTCATTACTATCACTGCCCTTCTCTACAGCAGGATTTCTTGATATTAGCATTACTGTACTGCCATTTTGGCCCAGATAATTCTTTGTTGGTGAGGAGGAAGAGGGTGAGCCTCTTCATCCTGAGGACTGTAGGATGTTTAGCAACATTCCAGGCCTCTACCCAGAAGATGCCAGTAGCATCACCTGCTTCTAGTTGTGACAATCAAAAATGTCTCCAGACATTGCCAAATGTCCCTTGTGGAATAAAATTATCCTCAGTTGTGAACCACTGAGTTGGAGCCTAAAATAGTGCCTGGCACATAGCTGGTGCTCAGTATGTATTTATTGAATGAATGAAAAAAGGGCACATTTGAAGTGCTATAGTAGGAGCTTTACAGACATTAACTCACCAAATCCTTGCAACAACAGCCCTAGGAGGTAGGTACCATGACACGATGTTAGGATGAGGAAAATGAGGCTTTAAAAAGCTTAAAGAACTTGCCCAAGATCACAAAATTAGCAAGTGAAGGGGTGAGAACTGAAAACCAAGTTTAAACCAACCAAACTAACATGAGTATTAAACTTCCAGGGTTTATCAGCATCTTCAAAATTGTACTAGATAAATTTGGGGGAAGAAAAGTGAAACTTAAAATATAGCCTGTGATGCAAAGAGCACCCCCCTCCCGACCCAATAAAACAAGAAAGGAACAAGAAGTAATATAAGACTAGAAGTCAACACTGTATATAATTAAGTGCCAAAGTATGTTATTATGATAGGCAAGATGGGGCCAAAGAACTTTCAAAAGTAGTGGAATAGATTAAACTTTGTATCAGTAAGTAGGTTTTTGCTTTTTCTTTTGAGGGGAGATGGTAAGCCTGGGTATTCTGTTTGGTTTGTCTTTACATTTAATTTTGTTCTCCTTCGTAAAATGAGGAAGAGTCTTTATTACAAGCTCTTGAGAAAAGAAGGCAGCTTAGTCTTTTCAAAATTTACCATCCTAATTTCTTGATGAAACATGGTATAGAAGAAATTAAGAAGGCCCAGAGGCTCCTCTAGCCACCATTTAATTATGTGGATGACCTTAAACAAATCAGAACCTTTCTAACCTCCAATTTTTTCACTTGTAAAATGGAGTTGTTGTGTTTAGAGAAATATATATAAAGCACTTAGCACAATGCCCAGTACACAGTAGTTGCTCAATAAATGCCAGGTCCTCCTTGAAGAAATAATTAAGGTTATAAAAACATTATGTTTGTGTATTTTATATTATATACAATAACAGCACAGAAATGTTAAGAAATGGATTTTAATAGTAAGAAGAGATTAAGACAGTAACAACACTTAAAGTGTGATTTAGGGCTGGCTGGTCTTCAGACTATTAAAAGAAAAGCATACTAGAATGAAAAAAATGGAGGACAGAATCTGTAAAATGTGAAATACTGTTTTCTCTAGTGAACCCTATGTATTCTGGAACCTTGGTACGTCTTATTGTCTATGAAGTTTCAGCCAAACACAGAACTAAAATCAACAAAGGCTTTAGCAACATAGGCTGCTGTATCCATGGAAACAAATGCGGAACTCTTCTCCTGAGATACGAGGAGCTTTCCACTTGAATGCATTAACTAGTACACATTCAAGACTAAGTCCTCATGATCTTGGCCTCAGATTATTAGGTTGGAAACAGTGCTGATCATAAAGATGTGAAAAAAATAATAAAATCTAGTGCTTCCTTTCTGCAGATGGAAGAAACAATTTTGATCCAAACTGGTGATACAAATTAAAATCTGTAATATATGCATATCCTTTTGACCATTCAATTCCACTTCTAGGAATGCATCTTAAGGAAATAATTAAACAACTTCACAGTGGAGTATACATTTAAGAATGTTCACTTTGGCTCGGCGCCTATAGCTCAACCGGCTAAGGCGCCAGCCACGTACACCTAAGGTGGTGGGTTCGAATCCCCAGCCCGGACCCGCCAAACAACAATGATGGCTGCAACCAAAAAATAGCCAGGCGTTGTGGCGGGCGCCTGTGGTCCCAGCTACTTGGGAGGCAGAGGCAGGAGACTCGCTTGAGCCCAGGAGTTGGAGGTTGCTGTGAGCTGTAATGCCACGGCACTCTGCCCAGGGGGACAGCTTGAGGCTCTGTCTCAAAAAAAAAAAAAAAAAAAAAAGAATGTTCACTTTGTTGATGGTAATTGTAATAGCAAAATCTTCAAATGGTAATGGTAATAGCAAAATCCTAGTCCAACAACAGGGATTTGATTAAAGAAATAAGGATATATGCAGCCATTAAAATAATTGTTAATATATTTACTAATGTAAACATCCATGCTAAAAGTATATGACATTTAAAAAATATAGCCCCACTTTGTTAAAAATATACATAATGCGTAGCAAAAATTCTGTAAAAATATTCCTTAAATGCAAATAAAATACTTTTTTCTCCCCCCAAAAAACTATTCCTTAAATTATTAACACTGGTTTTTGTTTTTGTTTTGCATGTTTTCCTTTCTTCTGTGCCATCTAGCAGATATTTTAAAAGGAAAAATAAAAGACTACAGATTCACCAAAGCTTAGAAATAAAATGACGATAAGCAGAAAAATAAACTGAATTAAAATTTAATATTAAAATGAGGTCTCCAGTTATCACTTACCTTATATGCAAGCATGACAGCATTGCAGTTGTGCCACCACCAAACACCCAAACAGTAAAAAACACAATCAAAAGTGTGGTGCTGAACATCATTTGCCGTGCATAAGTAGCAGTATCTCGAATGGCCAAGGCAAATGCCATTGCACCTCGAAGGCCTACAAGGGAATGGAAAAGGCATTATCTTCAATAGCTTATCTCCAACACAAGCTTCATAAATTCAGAGAAAAAAGCACATTCTAAAATCTTAGAAGCACATGAAAAAATACACAATTAATATTAAAATACCTGTATATACAAATGGAAATAGAATTTGTATGATACTGACAAGCATTGGACTCTTAACAATTCTTTATTATTTATACAATTAATTAATTATTTTAAATGGAGTCTCGCCCTGTCACTCAGGCTAGAGTGCAGTGGCATGATCATAGTTCATGGCAGCCTTGAACCCCTAGGTTCAAGCAATCCTCCCACCTCAGCCTCTTGAATACCCATTACAGGTATGTGCCATCATTTCCAGCTAACTTTTTTTTTTATTTTTGCAGAGATGGGTCTCACTTGTTGTCCACGGTGGTCTTGAACTTCTGGCCTCAAGCAATCTTCCCACCTTGGCCTTCCAAAATGTTGGGATTACAGGCATGAGCCACCATGCCCAGCCTTATTTTTTAAAATTTACATACATTAACATTCTCTCTTTTCAGTCTACAGCTCCTTGAGTTTTGACAAATACATAGAGGTGTATGACTATTATCACAATCAAGACACAGAAGGGTTTCATCATCCACTTCTTACAAATTCCTTTGTGTTATCTTTTTTTTTTTCAGTTCTTGGCCAGGGCTGGGTTTGAACCCGCCACCTCTGGCACATGGGGCCAGCGCCCTACTCCTTTGAGCTATAGGCACCGCCCTCTTTGTGTTATCTTTGAACTCCAAACTCTTTTTCACCTCACTAAACCCCTGGCAATCACTGATGTATTCTCAATTGCCATGACTTTGTCTTTTTAAGAATGTCACATATCGAGAGATGAATAGAACCTTCTCTAAAGAAGACAGATGAATGGCTAACAAATATATGAAAAAAATACTCATTGTTCCTAATTATCAGAGAAAGGCAAATCAAAACCACCCTAAGATATCACCTAAGCCCAATGAGGATGCCCTACATCACAAAATCTCAAAGCTGCAGATGCTGGCATGGGTGTGGAGAAAAGGGAACACTTTTACACTGCTGGTGGGACTGCAAACTAATACAACCTTTTTGAAAGGAAGGATGGAGAATCCTCAAAGAACTCAAACTAGACCTCCCATTTGATCCTGCAATCCCATTACTAGGCACCTACCCAGAAGAAAAAAAATCATTTCATCATAAGGACATTTGCACTAGACTGTTTAATCGTAGCTCAATTTACAATTGCCAAACTGTGGAAACAACCTACATGCCCACCAATCCAGGAATGGATTAGAAACTGTGGTATATGTATTCCATGGAATACTATTCAGCCACTAAAAAAGATGGAGACTTTACATCTTTTATATTAACCTGGATGGAGTTGAAACACATTCTTCTTAGTAAAGCATCACAAGAATGAAGAAGCAAGAATCAAATGTACTCAATTCTGATATGAAGATAATTGATGAACTAGTACATGGTGGGGGGTGGGAGAAATGGGGAGCAGAGAGAGGAAAGGAGAGAGGGGGGTGGGGGTTATGGTGTGTGACACACCTCTTGGAGGCAGGACACAATTATAAGAGAGACTTTACCTAACAAATGCAATCACTATAAACTTGTTCTCCGTACCCTCAATGAATCCTCAACAATAACAAATAAAAGAATGTGAACAGAGTCTTCAGAGTTTAGTTTTATAATAAAAACTTGGAATAATTAGACCTTTACATTCCTGAAGATAAACATGTAATCTTTTATCATATTTTGCTCAATAAAATTGTTCAGAAGATCAAAATGGTAAAGACAATGTAAAATTTAACATTTTAATACTGAAGTTGTACACTGTTTTACTTAACATTTTGGGGAGTAATTTGCTCTGACTTGAACTCAAGAAAATACTTTTTGTTGCTAATGTAATCTGTTTTTGTAATGATGTCAGCAAATAAAAGGATGCTCATTATTCGGGGAAAAAAAAAGAATGTCACATAAAGGTAAGGCTGGCATGGTGGCTCACACCTATAATCCCAGAACTCTGGGAGGCTGAGGTGAGTGGATTGCTTGTGGGCATTGGGGTGGGTGCTTGAAGTCCCAGCTACCTGGGAGGCTGAGGCAAGAAGATCGCTTGAGCCCAAGAGTTGGAAGTTGCTATGAGCTATGATACTGCAACCTGCAACACTCTACTGAGGGCAACTAAGTGAGACTGTCTCAAAAAAAAAAGAAAAAGAAAAAAAAAAGAATGACACATAAATGGACTCATATAGCATATAACCTTTCCAGACTGGCTTCTTTAACTCAGCATAATACCTCTGAGATCCATCCACATTGCTGAGTGGATCAGTCGTTTATTCCTTTTAGTGCACAGTAGTATTCCAAGGTATAGATGCACCACAGTTTGTTTAGCCATTCATCCGTTGAAAGAAAGACAAATGGGCTATTTCCAAGTTTTAGCAATTATGAACAGAATGGCAAAAAAAATTCACTTACAGGTTATAAAATGTGTTCATCTTTATCTTTACCATACTGTGTCACATTTCTGAACCAAGGATTTGGGACCAGAATATGAAGACATTCCCATAGAAGGGAATGGGACATAATGAAAAAAATATTCTATTTGAGGATACAACTTCAATACTTAAAGGAGTCTTATATTACCGCATAACATCTCAGTGTGACATCAAGCTGTATACATCAGTGTACATGCAGTGTGACTGACTGCTGGGAGTGGGCAAAAAAGGTTGGTTAGAGGTTGGGTGCAGTGGCTCAAGCCTATAATCCTAGCACTCTGGGAGGCTGAGGCAGGTGGATTGCCTGAGCCCAGGAGTTTGAGATCAGCCTGAGCAAGAGCAAAACCCCATCTCTAAAAATAGCTGGGCATTGTGGCAGGTGCTTGTAGTCCCAGCTACTTGGGAGGCTGAGGCAAAGGGATAGCTTGAGCCCAGGAGTTTGAAGTTGCTGTGAGCTATAACATCACGGCATTCTATTGAGAGTGACAAAGTGAGACTCAGTCTCAAAAAAAAA